TATATAGAAGCTGCCGCTGCCTCTCGGCAAATTCACCTCCCAAAGTTCTCTCTCTTCCACTGTGTATAGATTCTACCTACCTGGCCCTTTAGAAAGATTTTCCTGATTAAGAACATGCTCTTTTCCGTCTTAGGTCGTTGCATGTCCTTGCACGCAATCTCTTTCTATTCTTTGTCTAGCTAATTCCTCCTTTGGGTCTTGAAATCGAACTTTCACATAGAAGTGTTTTTGATCCCATATACTTAACTAGTGCTGCCACTGTTTCTCCAAAACACCCACTCCTTTTCTTCACAGCCTTCAACTATTTTCCTGTTTCAAGTTGTGTTTCCACATGATTTTTGAGTTTATCTGCAAATATTTGTCTTTATTTCTGTGCCATGAATTCTTCATGCCATCCTAAGAAGCACACCTGCTTTATTCATCGTTGTATGTACTCCAGGGCATACAATACAATACAGTGGTACACAGTGGCATTGCTAGATAAAGGAGTACTAAATACATGGGGCTCTTCCCATTTCCCTTTTGAGCAGGATCAGAGAAATGCAAATAAATGGCAACCATTTATTTGAGGACACAGCTGGTCTGCTGTAGACACATCTCCCAGGCTAGCCTGGGAAAGCGATCAAGCTGGGCGCAAAAGGAAAAGCAATACCCAATTATTAGCCAGTTGGAAGTACTTCTCCAGTCCTCAGTTCTGCCATGGACAACTATACAAAGCAGGAATACATGTCACCTTTTATAATAATCTCTGCCTCCTTTCCAAAATAATTGAATGAGGTTTTTCTGAAATGCTAGGAAAGACTCTAAACTAAGTTCACTGCAGCCTAAGCTGGGAGTCTTACATACATGTGCACACACACACACGGGACATGGGGCACACACATCTACCTAATTCTTCTGAACTTCAGAATGACTTGAGTATCAACAAGAAACCCTGTTGCCTGTTCAAAAGGCTGATATTCAGAGAGGGGTATGGAAATATTTCCTGGCACATACAGAATTCTCCATCCTGCCTTTCCCCTGTTTTCTTAAATGAGATGTCATTCACAAACTGTAAGTTCACCCTTTTGAAGTGTATAATTCAGTGTTTTGCTCAAAGTTGTGCAATTATTGTCACTAATTCCAGAACATTCTCATCACCCTCTGGGTCCCCCTCCCACCCATCCTCATTAGCTATCATTTACTCTTCTTTGCTCCCCAGCTCCTGGCAACTACTAATGTACTTTCTGAAATTTTCAGTGAAACTGAAACAAAGAAAGATGAAATGACCCACACGGGCTGCAGTGGCAGTGTGAGAGCAATACTGTAACCACCCGTGCTCACAGGGACTGTTTAACTGTATGAGACACAGTGAAGAGGTTTAGCTAACTATATATACCCCAAATGTGACTATGTTTACCTGCTGCATAAAACAGAGTCCTCTGAATAGTGATTTTCATGCAGTGTGCTGGGCCAAGGAGAGGGAAGGGTGTAGGATGGTAGGCACTTAGAGGAAGAGGGTAGCTACCTGCGAATCACATTTAGGGACAGAGTGACTGAGCCAAAAGGCTTAGAGAAATGTGAGCGCATATGGCTTATAAGGGTAGACATGGTCTTTTCAGTTCAAGGTTTTGAAATTGGTTTTAATATGATCAGGTATCCACTTGCATCCATTTATAGTGCACCCAATGGATCTCAGAGATCCCTGATCGTTTCATTTTGTTTACGAGTAGTTAATGTATTAATGGTGCTAATACCACTTTACAATACTTGCTGCATGATGACATCAGGCAAAATGACCTAGAAACCAACATTCTTTTATATCCGACTGTCTGCATTTTCAAGTAAGTAAAAGAATCACAAGCTTAACTTACTTCTGTTACCATCAATAAATGTGTACACAGTAACAGTAACCCCACAGACTAAAATCATCATAATCCATTTGCAAAAATAATTAGGCATACATTTTATTTTATGTCTTAATCAACATTGCAAATACCGTTAACAAAAGGAGAATGGAAACCACTCAGTACAGAAAAAAAATTCATCACTGAAAAGATGAATTCTGAACTTCAATAATCTTTGCACTTATTTAAAAATATTAAAACAGCAATTCAAGAGAACAAATCAAAATGAATATTTTATTAATTAAAATGAAGACTCTAAATCAACTCAGACTGGACAACTTAAAAAATAACCTCCTGTCTTCAATCTAGAAATGTTTAACTCACCAGATCTGATAATAAATATCCTCAGGACCCTACATTTAGCAAGTAATCAATTTTTATTTTACAAAGATATTTTGAGTGACAGAAATCCTGCAGATGACTACATTATGATTTTTAAATGACTGCTAAAAATGCCTAGATTGTCAATGTATTCATAGAGTTGGACACTAAATGACATAGCAACCATTAAAAGTTGAAACTTCTGGTCTAGCAAATATTTTATTACTATGTTATTAACCAAAAGGTCAACTCTCAATTTTCTACAGCAAAAGAGATATTTGGTACAAATAAGTTGGAATTAGGGAATCAAAGTCCTTTATTTGTAGTTTTACAGTGTGTTTTTGGAACTAGAAATGCCTATATATGAAAATGCAGTCTTCTGCTGATACTTACAGAATTGTGAGGAATGAACAGCCAGACCATTTGGAATTACTGACATAAAAAAAGCACTCATTTTATTCCATAAAGATTAATGGGTTGTACACTGCAATTTAGGCTAAAGGTAAACAGAGAATTAAGTGCTTTACTATTAAATGCTCTTTTCCCCTGTTGACAGGAATAACACAATGCTAAAGTAAAAATAATTCCAGTAAGTATTTCCTCAATATATCAACTTTAATTTTCCCATTTGATTAGAGGGCTAACAAAAATAACAAAAAATAAATTAAAAATCATGGGTGATTAAAAAAAGGCAAGACAGGCAAGGAAAGAGATTTAGGTAAATATCTGCTAGGAAGAGGTTTAGGTAAATATCTGCTACCAACCAAGCCTTTTGCAAAATTCAGAGCATTATTGTAAAACCTTCCATTACATCCAGAGCCACACACATGGCACACGGAAGCCTGGATAATTCTTTGATGAATTTTCAGGTTGCAAGATAACCTACAGAAGTATTAACACATTATTTTCATTTCATGAAGGAAAAAAGAACACAGTCAAGATAGTTAGCAATCTTACCTTTGAAGTGGTTATCCTAAAACATTTTCTTTAATTCAACTTTACAAATTTCCAAGTCTCTAAGTCATCAAGGAGACACCAGAAACAACTTTCCTTATGAGTACTGTGAACTCATTCTTTATGAAGCATACATGCTTCATCAATCTAGAACAATGTGAACTTAGATTTCATTTTAAATTGAGCCTGTGACTTCTTGGTAGAACATTGGAAAAAAGAAACAGTAAAAATACTTCTTATTAAAATGTTTACTTCTCAGATAATTGAATTGGAGAAATATTTATATTTTTAGTCCAAAAGATTACTTTGAGAGTTTGAAAGATTAAAAACAAAATTGGTTCAACAATTACCAAAATGAAATGACTCCTAGCTATGACCTCAAGAACTTTTCCAGTCAATCCAAAATAAACCACTTCAGTTGAGCTCAGCTCACTTAATTTTTAAAACCATTTCCGGCGCCCCCCCCCCAGCTTCATAACTGGACTAGATGTTGTTCAACAACATTATCTCTGTTAAAAGTGAACAGATACAAGTTTTGAAAGAATTGCACAGGTACTGAATCTGATAAGGGTATAATGTACAGTCATTATATTTCAGAGCTTGAAGAGAACTTCAAGAACTCTTCCAGCAAGTACATCTTACAGATGAGGACCCTGAGGCCCAAACTGAGTCAGCTGGTCAAATGCATTGACCAATGTCACATTCCTTGGGCTTAGCCATTCATTCATATTCAGTCAGTCATTCATTCACTTACCCACTTTCTCAAAGCTGCCTAATGCCCAGCTTGGTGCTGAAAACAAACCAGGAGACAGTATTCACCATTTTGCCAAAGCAGTCTTTGTTTCCTTGGCTAAAGATAAATCCTTAAATGCCCTTTTCAGGAAGAACGCCTTGAGGAGTTCTGCAGCCTTACAGAGGCAGGCCCACTTTCAGTTTTACACATTGTAGTAAACACAGTTGGGTTTAAGTTCAGAGAGGCCTCAATTGTGTTTACTTTAAGTGATTAAGCATTAACTAAGGGAAGCACAGTATTCTGAATGAGTCCCTCTCCACTCCATTCATCACTTAAAGAAGTGCAGTCAGAAAATGCCCTACACACAAACAAGTTCACAGAAGGGACAGCTTACAGGATCAGAGGGATCTGAGGTATCAACATAATCAGTTAAGTCCAATAGCTCAAGTTTACAAAGACTGGAATGTAAATATCTCCCCAGTTATTCAGATGTGGGTCTATCTTTCTGAGATGTCTATACTTTAAAAAGACCTGGAAACTTACATTCAAACTAACACTCTCTACCAATGACACAAATATCCAGGGTTTTCTCTTTAAGAGCAACAACTTTCCTTGATTTTGATTTGACTAAAGGGAAATTACAATTAAAAAATTAACAAAACCTAAAATTTCATGTGCTGGCAAAAACAAATTAAAATTCTGTGTACAATTAAAAACCAATAGCTCAAACTGCACTGAGTTTTGTTGAAAAAATGAGATATGTTCATGAACTTACCCATGAACATAAATCATCCCTCATTCTGCTTGGACTTTTACATTCTTTAACATTAAGTCTGGCTACTAAACTCTTTTGTGTATATCAATTCACAGTCAACCTCTTTAAAGAGAAAAGATCACACTAACAATGCTCTTAAACACAACAGTCCATAGGTAAGGCACTTTGAAATATTAAACAGCAGCTCTCCGGGCACCCACTGTCATTGTTCCAGACCCAAGTGAAACACGGCTTTGACAGGGCTCTCACAGATGACCAGGGTGATTTCTGAGAAAATAACAGTCTTCACGGAGACTCCTCCACGTCCCTGATGCTATTGGGAGCTCAGGATGAAAGTGCTGTTGTGCTCTTCTATTTCTCGAATCTCCAGATTTGATTTTTATCTCCAGCAACACAAGTTCTCATCTGAACATCCGGTCGGCCCTCGGCTGTCCGATAAGCACTGAGACACAGTCCTGAGTGTGGATGAAAAATGGTTCCATCTTCTTTAAAATGCCAAATGATGTTTGCTGGAACAGAGACCCCATCTTTTGGGCAGTTTTGCATTCCTACATGGTTTTTGTTCTGAGGCACCTCCGCACACAACTCTGTCACAGAATTAAACCTTATCTCCTTGTTTGAAGTGTATTCAAAGAATTGATTGCCTCCTTGACCATGGCATCCAAACAGTGAAAGGTTAGCACCTGTGGGGTTGCTATCAGGAGAGTTATAATCTAAACATTCAGAAGAAATCCCCATACTACGAATAGCCCCGTGCCAGCCTGGTCTGTCCTCTGGAACATGTAAAGTAGAAAACACATTTTTCAAATACCAGTCAAAGTTCTTGCAACGCAGACGTTCTCGTAGTAATTTTCTTTCAGAAATATCGCCATAATCTTCTTTTCTTGCCGGAGGGTTTCGATTATAGAAATGTTGTTTGTAGTCGTCCATCCACACTTCCGCTGCACGAGCAGTATTCTGCAGGAAATTGGGCCGAGCATATGGCGCCCGCTTGGGAAATACATGACCCACGTGGGAACACGGGTGGATCTCCAATTTGCCACCACATTGCCAAACCCTGAAAGAAAGCTCAAGGTTTTCACCTCCCCACACTTCCATGCCGGTGTCGTAAGTTCCAAGGTAGTGAAAATATTTTTTGCTGACAGCAAATAATCCTCCTGCCATGGTGGGTGAACTGATTGGGTCAATTCTTGATTTCCGTCTGTCCTTTTCTTGTTTGGGGACAGAATGCCACTGGAACGTTAAACGCCAGTCAAACCCACCAATCATAGGCTCTCCAGTTTGCATGTAGAATTCAAAAGTATTCCAATCAATGGTGTCTATAACAGGACAAACAATGGCTGTTTCATCTTCGCCGATCCTGTGTAAAAGAGGTTCCAACCAACCAGCATTACACTCACAGTGGCAATCCAGGAACGTGAGGACATCCCCAGTGGCAAAAGTGGCCCCTATCAGGCGGGCCCTAACCAGCCCTTCCCGCTTATTAGTTCTTATCAAGCGGACTCTCTGGAGACCACTAATGTAAGTTTCAAGCTGTGTCTTCAAATAAGCTCTGTCACTCAAGTCGTCAACCAAGATGATTTCCTTCAAGAGCGCCGCAGGAGAAGTTTCCAAAACACTGTGGACAGTGCGGAGCAAAGTCGACCAGGCTTCGTTATAGAAAGCAATGATAACAGAGGTGGTGGGAAGTTTCCTATAGTTGAACTTCAGGGATTTACACTCATACATTCTTTTATCTTCTATATGGCGGTGCAGGGAAATCCTGTCACTGAGGTATATATTGATAGCATATCTCTCAATTAGTTCTTCTTGCTGCTTCAGTTCACCCGCGCTGAGCTCGAGTTTGCTGGCTTTCCCCCACTCCCCAAGTGCCCAGGAATCTGCAGGGGGTTTCTCATAAAGAGGTCGAGCCAAATCCACTGCCTTTTCCTCCGGGTCAGAGAGCTGCCTTAGCCCCCGCTCCCTGGCAACGCCAGCTCCTGAGGAGGCATGAAAAGTGAAGACCGAGCGTTCCACCAGGATATAGGCCACCATTAAAAGCGCCAGCAGCAGGCAGCTTTTGCCTGCCCAGGTCCACCTCACGGCCATCCGGATCCTCATGGCAAGGGCGCAGACGCGGCCACCGGAGTCACCCTGCAGGGGAAGGGCTGCGAGCTCCCTACTTAGGTTTCTGGTTCAAGCAGAGGCGAACTTCCCAGCAGATCTCTCCTTTCCCGCGGGCGCTCTGCTCCTTTCCAGCCACAGCGTCTCCTTAGGAGTCACCTGCGACCTCTAAGTCCTCGGTCTCCGGCACAGACCCTATTACGCTCTCTCTACTTCCTCCAGCTAGTCTCACAACTTTTCACAAACTCTCCAGCCAACACCCCACCCTCCCAGGGCGCAGGACAAACTCCTCCCCTTCTCACTCACTCCTCCTGGTGGTTAGTTCGCGAAAGCAGTTCGCCAGAGCCAAACCTAAGAGTAGTAATGCCCCGCCGGGTTAAGGACCCGACTGGCGCGAATGAGGTACGCGGCTCGGGTCCCCTCTGGTTCCCCTTGTGCCCGGCCACGCTGGGCTCTCCGAGTCTCCCACCGCTCTTAATCCCCACCTAGGTCTTCAAGTATTCTCCCGGGGCCCGGCGTGGGCAGCACCAACCGGTTAAGCGTTTGCCTTTAACAAAAGAAAGAAAAAAACTCACCAAGTTGTTTGCCATTGGGACTGAAGTCCACGGAGGTGATCGCAGCTTTGTGGCCCTTAAAATAGCGTTCCAGAACCGGGTCCTCCTGGGAAGGAAAGTTGTCAAGTTTTGAAAGCAGGTGCAGACCTCAAATTCGGGCGCGAAGGGGCCAACGCCGTCTCTTGGCCCTGGGTCCCGCCGGGAAGCCGCCGGGGCGGTGCGTTTGCAGAGCTGGAGGTCCCGGCCCGGGTGCGCGGGCACCCGCACAGGGAGGCGCCGAGTACATACTTTCCCGCGCAGCGAGGCAAGACTCCACCAAGGAGGCCCGGGAGGTGCCCCCGCGGCAGCTGGTTTGAAATGCACATTCCCGGGCCACGCCCCCCCGGGGCGAGCTGCTGGTGCCAGCCGGGGCGCGGGCTCCGGTGTTTTTAAAAACCTCCCAGGTGATTCTGACGCAGGCGCTCCACGGAAACCCTCGGAGAATTCTGGGGCCCGTGGGGCTGCCCGGCTCTGACCCGAGCTCCGGGACGCGCCCGGAGGCCCGTCCCAGGCTCTGCGCTCCAGACATCCCGTTAGCTGAGAGTGAGAGGCGGGCACCCTCTCACTCTCAGCGCCCCTGGACCCCGCTGTGGACACAAGCCTCCGCTTCTCGCCAGGTGCGGGAGCAGCCCCGACTCTGGGCCCCGCAACCAGTGAGACTGGCTCCGGGGATGCGCCCCAGCCCGTCCTTACCGGGGCGGAGGCCATGGGGGGGAGCGGTCTGCGCCGGGCTGCTTCGGGTGGAGGGGGTCGGGGGAAGGGAGGGGACCGGGTGAGGAGGGGGGGGACCGTGCGTCTCCCGGAACCGTCTGCCTAGAGCGGCGGCGCCTCCCGGTCACTACAACAACGGCGGCCCAGTCAAACCCCGCGCTCCAGGCCTGGCCAGCCGAGTCCCGAGGTTCTGCCGGCACTGGAGAGAGCCGGGTCGCGGTAAGTGGCCCGTGGGGCTGCCCGGGATCAGGTGTGACCAGAATCGGCGTTAACTAACGCAGGCGATCCCCAGGCTCCACGCCAGAAGACGGGTAGTAACTGAGGTGGGAATGAGACCGATGGGCGAGGAAGGGAACGAGTGTGTGATCGATGCAATCGGAGTTCCATTACAAGTTAAAGAGACAGCCCCGCTGCGAACTTGAATTCAAGCTGGTCCTTCCCCGCTTGTGTCCTTCGAGGAGGGTGCTTTGAGCTGAAGTGGGGCGACTTGCTGATTACTAATACACGCAAAAGCGCTAAACGCCTGAAGGGCATTTGTTTCACCAAAGACTCTGCGTTACGGAATGATGGATATACGCGACGAATGAATGTTGGGCACCCGGTTGTGTTTTCTTGCCATGCTTTCTGTTCTCTTGCAAATGCGTGGGCGCAGCCAGTATACAGTAGCATACCCAACCTCTCTAGGAAGACTCAGAAAGAAACTTCTTTGCTTTGTTTAAAATAGTAGGCAACGTAGTATCTGTCCATTTCTGCAGTATATTATCGTTTGCACGACAGCAACATCACGAAGTTACAAAACGTTCCCAATTGTAACACATTATCCACTTGTAATGGTCGAAGATCACAGAGACTACTCGTCCCATTCCAAGCTACCTAAAGCACGAAGGACTCAAATGAATCTTACGTATAAAGATGTTTGGCAGCCTAGGATGGCAAAACAGACCACAACCCCTGAGAAACAGCTATGCAAATGAAAGATATACTACACACTTTAATTACAGGTTGTCTAATAATTAAAATTAGTTTAATGCGTACTGTACAAAACAAGGAAGCAGGTGGGAAATACAGGATGTCAGTGTTTAAATCAGATATATGATTGTGGAAGATGCTACATGTTTGGCTCTAAGGAATACAATGTCACATATTTTCCCTTCCCTCAAGAACTCCATTATTTAGGCTCTGAGTCTCATTTCAGTGTGCATAATAATGATGTAGAGATCTCCATTCCCTCAGATGCTGATTCAGCATGGGGGTTGGGGGGTGGGGAGTTGCGAACCATCCAGGTCCTACCAATTGTAACAACCTCTTGAGTGATTGTTATGTGTATCTTAGCTGTGTACAGTGAGAAACATCAGCCTAAGAGGTGATACATGAATACCAGCAACTTGTCAAAAAAAATAGCAGGACTCATAAGTTTTTCTACTCAAACCTAGTTTGGGTTTGACCTTTTTAAAAAACTTACAGTAATGCTAGGTAGGTACTATTGGTAATGCAAACGGTGTAGGGCTCTGGGAAATAGGCTCACAGTTGTTTAAGTTAACTCCTAGGAATATACCAAAAGTACTGAAAGTGAGGACTGGAACAGATGCTGTATGTAACCCATTTTTGATGATGGAGGCCAAGTGCTAGATAGGTCAAGCTGATCTTTTTATATAGTTTCCTTTTTCCAAATGCCCTTTAAATCAAATATTGAATCTTTCCACTTGAGCATTTTAAGTTTCCTTTTTATTTTACCTGGGAGTTTCCCCTAGGTTAGATCCCTTCAAAGAAGGAAAATTCAAACATAGCACAAAAGCGCCGCCTACTGTTCACGTTCTTATATGGTACTAGAATAAAAATACTGTGCAATTTATTTCCAGAAATTATGTAACTCCCTTCTGAATATAGTTGCTAAAATATAGGAGAGTGCAAGGAAGGAAAGTACAGATTTGTTTGATCATTAAATCACTCACCTTTTTTGTTTTTTTTTTTAAATGTTAACTACTAGGAATTCAACCTACTAGTTGAATTCAACCTTCAATCTCCAAACCCTATCAGTTGTGTCCTCACAATAGATTTTATCTTCCCTCTTCTGTCCCTGGGCTCCTATTCTTCTACCTCTTTCCCTGCCTTCTAGAATATTTCAGCAATTGCCACCTTTTTTAAAATTAAATTTAATTTTATTTATTTCTGTCAGTTGTTTACGCCCATGCTGAAACAATACTATATAACTTTATGCCAACAGGATATGACTTTGTCAGTCTTTCTATGAGAGATTTCTTTGGAAATGTTGTTTTACAGTTTCCTTTTGTTACACAAGGAAATAAATACCTTTCCTCCTGCACTTCATCATGACAGTGTTATTATTCAATCTTGCTAACCCACAGGAGAACACCACCATCGAGCTGACCCTATAGCCTGCCACTCAGAGTTCTCTTCAGTGTTGTATCATCTATGCTCATGTGCCTGCCAAATTTCCATCCTAGCGAAAGGCCCACAAGCGAAAGGACCAGAGCTGTGTCGTATTTATCTTAGTAGCATTCTATAATCACCACAATCCCTAACACTTAACAGAAACTCAATAAATGTTTTCGGTATCAATTGAAGGGCTGTAGCTTAGCTTTCTGTGGTCACTTGAAAGTGAAAATTAATGCTTTCTATTTCTTTTATAATCACTAGTTGGGGAGACAAGACTCCACATGTAAAACACTGAATGAAATCAAGCAACACTAAAACTGAATCTTGTAAAGCAGTAAAATCCACAACAACCATGGAAATGTTACAAAATACATATATAGCAACTACATTTTGTATTTTTACTGTGGCAGATATTCTTACCATATGTGATTGTGAGAGAAACTGACACCAAGAAGGACTTGGGCAACAGGAAAGGCTGAGACCTGGACAGTGATTTTAAACAATATAGGAACAGAAGGAACAAAACAACTCCTGGGAAAACACAAGTGTGTTCCTGAAGTGTTGCTGAGTCAGCCACCACCTAGAATAAGATCTGGTAACAGGATAATTAGGGAACAGAAAAACAAACCCCTTAAAACTCCCCAAGCTAGGCTGATGCTAAGGGAAGACAATAGAGTTACTCCCTCCCTTTCTAAAAAAAAAAAAAAAATCTTAAAAAAAAAAAAAAAAAAAAAAAAGCCCCACAGATGCAAAAAGTACCTGCCATTAAATCTTTATCTGGCTCCTTGGTCTTCTGTAATTTGGAAAGACCAGGCTTCACCTTCAGGCAGCAGATTTCTGCTTGTGCTACAAGGCTGTTCACATTTTTAAAAAATGGAGATGGCCAGAGGGAGGGAATGGGATGTCCTTGAAAATATCACCGTAAGCTCACTGAGTCCCACTGATTCAGAGGTCTGCAGTAGCAGCCCAAGACCTTGTAGTATCACAAGTTCCCAGGTGTGATACTGTTACAGGGCAGGGAGAGAGGGACACCACTGAACCCCCAAACCTGCCTGCTCTGAAAAGATTCTGTCATCCCCACATCAAGACAAGATGTAAGAGCTTTAATGGAAAGGAGCTATAATACAACAAGTGTGAATACAAAAAAAACAATATAGTTTCTAAATCAAGCATCCAAAGTGACCCATCCCCTCGTGGGTAAAAGTCCACCCAAATGGGATCCGCCTAAAGCAAGGCCTGAAAGCTGCCACAAGTCTAAATCACCTTCTGGCCGGGACCCATGGAAAAGGGTCAGACATGGTCAGACAAGTCTGGGAGGAAAAGAGCAACATCAAAATGAAGGCAAACGCTGCCCTGGTGAACCTCCCCACCGGTCTCTCATCCACATCTGTCTCAACCAGCCCCGGACCAAGAAGAAACAAGCAGCAGGGTTTCTTCACATGTCTCTCAGCTCCCTGTGCCTCCCTCAGGTCTCCCTCTGGTTCTCCATCCCGCATCCTTCCTCCTCAGTTTCCTCTCCAGATTCCTCTTCTCTCTGCTCAGCTCCACCCTTCTTCTGGGTGGGGCAAGGAACCTCCCCTTTCCTGGGCACCACCCTGTTCCAAAATTTTCTGGCTAACGATCATCTGCAGTTCAACGAGTATTTTAGATGATTCGAATATTCATTAATGCTATCAATGGGCTCTTCTGTGGCAACCAACAGGCTGAAAAAGAGTAAATAGTATGACAAAGTCTAGCCAGGGGCATTTAGGCAGGTAAATAGCGTCTAAGTCATAAAGGAGGAAGTAAAATGGTTTGTTTGCCCATGACAGGATCCCAGAAAATCCTAGACTCAAGGGGCGAGTAGCGGCTGCTGCTCGGCAGTGGGGGCAGGCAGCGGGGCTGGAGCGGGCGCTGCGGGGAACCCTGGTCTGTCTCCTGCCATCCCGTTCGGGGAAGAACCGGGTTCTGGTTCCACGGCAGCCGCAGGCCCGATCCGAGAGGACGAGCGCCCCCTGCCGGCAGTGGAGGAAGACTGATTCCCGGACGCTGGCTGAGAGGTGAGCCGAGGTGGCCTCTGTAAATCAGCGCTGCCAGCTGGTTGTGGGGTAACAGATTGTGGGGTGACTCAGGAGCGCCTGCCCTGCAAAAGCTGGAGGAAGCTGAGAAAACTGCTGATGAGCAGGGAGAAGTGAAGGTTACTGAAACCGAGCCTTAAAAGATGGAACAGGCTCTCACTGGTGGCGCAGTGGGTTAAAGCAGCGCATTATGAAATGCTCCGCGAGTTCAATCCCCCGCCTGGGAGCTGACCCCCATGGCGCGGCAGACCTCTCCTCACCCGCCCGCTGCTCCCCTCAGTAGTGTACTTCGTCGATCTGCCTGTTCTGCTCCCCACTCTGTCTCTGGGTGAATCTTCAAGATGGACTAAGCGAGTTGCACCAGTGGCAGTTGGTGATTCTCAAGGGGCACGTGGAGTGCGGGAGGGAACAAGCTGAGCCGGCAGAGTCTCATTGCTGGGAGGTTGATGGACCAAAACCTGCAGTGTCTGAGGACAGCTGAGAAAAATTACTGTCCAAAAGAAGACAAATATTGAGACAGCTTAGATAAAAGAAATTGTGAGCCGGTGGGGTGAGTCGCCCCCGGCCTGAG